GAACTCGACTGAGACATTAATGAGGCTGAGCTGTGTAGAAAATTTCATCTTGATCTAACTCTCCTTTCGAGAGTTATCGTGTAAACGGACGGCCGGCCGGACACACTGACCGATTCTAGAGTGTACTCACTTTTTTGAGTACACAAAAAGCAGCGCTTAATGACGGTTTCTTTTCAGCAAGCTTCAGTTTTATCTAATTTTATTTCTTTTGACCATCGTCGCATTAACCCCTGAAACCAATCCCGGAGTGTTGATTTTGAAGCTACCGGTTTACCCAATTGAAGCATATAAGGTTTAGTTAAACCAAAGACAACAGAAGATGAAATTAGACATTACCATTTCTGAAACAAAATAATCATAGTAACTAGATGAGACTCTTCTTCTTTAGTCAAAATGGTTGTTCTGCCGCGACTTGCACCATTTCGATTTCCAGCAAGCCTATGAAAAATTGTTCGAGTTGGTACACTCTGTATGCAATTTACATTAGCTCACCGGTCATTGTCTCCATGATCACCACGGTCGTATAGGTAGGATATCTTGGAGCTGGATTCGAGTATTTCTTGTATGGATTCGCCCATTCACCGGACCAAAACGTAAAAATGACACAGAGTGATAGAACTCAACGAGCTCTATCCAGTGAACACCTTTTAAGCTAATTCACATGCTGGGATCCCTTCCAGAAATGCTAATCAAGGCCGAAAACCAGGTTCTGTCACGAAAACCTGTATGGATTCGCCCATTCACCGGACCAAAACGTAAAAATGACACAGAGTGATAGATCTCGACGAGCTCTATCCAATGGACATCTTTTAAGCTAAGTCACATGCTGGGACCCCCACCGAAAGGGCAAACCCAGATCGCAGTTCAGCATTCATTAGAATTAATATTGCTGTTCATTTTTTCTTATCCAACATACAAAAGCGAATATTAATCGATTTTGTTTCCTTTATATCTAAGGAGGAAATTTTTTTGTAAGTCTTCTTTTTAATGCTTTATATTTTAATTTAGACTTTTTTCTAGTTCTTATATCTTTTTTAATTTGAAATAGTTGAGTTGATAGTAAATCAACGACATCCTAATATTATATTTTATTTTCGTCGAGAAATTGTGTATGTGGAGGAAGAGAAAAGAAAACTATTGGTTAATAGGATCTTATTTCTATGTATGAAGACGAAAAGAGAAAAAAAACATTTATTTTTTTCTATTAACCTTATCGGTATTCTCGTCTTATTCATCGATATATGCATTGACAGGAATGGAAAAATAATCCATTAGTTCATTTCTTTGGACCAATATGATTAAGAGAACGATAGATGGAATGATATATACATATACATTGTACATATATGTGTATAGGAAGGAAAAGAAAAATAATTTATACGTTATTGATTTAGTTCAATGGAGAAGAAGGAACGAAAGAAGGAGCAATATATGCATATAGATAAGTGCATTAACATATATAAATACATGTGCAGGAAAGAAAAAAATATTACTGGTTTGTTTCACTCGATCAATCAGTGATCGCACCGAGAAAACAATTATATATTTGTCAAGTTTATATGAATTTCTAGTTTTAGAAAAAAAAAGATTTCCTTTCCCTTTTCTTTTTCTTTTTAAATATTTATACTTTAAGTCGGGAAATAATTGTTAGAGGTGTATCATAATTGATGAATGTAAGTTCTTTTTTTTTAATAGAAAAATCATATTCATGCAGGAACTGAGCTATATAAATACATTATTTGAATGTATGAATAACATGAATCAGATGAAGATTTCATTAAATTTTTTTTCTTAATAGTGGTGTACATGTGATGGTGGAGATGAAAAGAAACTAGTTTTGACTCTTAAAATTAATTATGCATCTTTTTTAGTCGCAGCCAAGTTTCGATGAATTTCATCAAACAAAATTATCAGTTTTCATTGAAATATTTTAAACGCAGAAGCAAAATATACTGAACATGAATAGTTTTAGTTTGTTCGAATGTTTTTATATTCTATCATTCATTTTAACCTAAAATAAATATTCATTTCAAAATGAAATTGTTCGTATCGATGTAAATATAAGTTTTGGAAGACGAAGAATTTATTTTGTACAAGCTTAGTAATTGAATTACTGAGCTGTTTGAACGAAGTGAAGCATTTTAATGTGTTGCTTTTCTTTATTGATGTTGACTATGAAATAATTAATGGCACTATTTTTATATGAGTAAAGAATCATGTACATTTGCAGTACTTTTGAATCTATTTGAAATATCACCCATGATATCATTTTTCGAAATGAATTTCCTTTAAATTGAAAATGTCGAGACTAAGACTGATGAATGTGTAGAAAGTCGAATTAGAGTAGGCAAGAGACGGTAAACTGAAGTAACTGAATTAATTTGAAATATATATTTATTTTTCTTAAGGATATTCCGGAACTGACAATGTATTGCTGTCGATATAAGAGTTCAATCTCATAAGTTGGTTCAAGTTCACTTGTTGCACTTTCTATTGATTATGTGCCTTTGGTATCTTTCTATTAATCGTCAATATTTTTCCTCTGGTAACGCTTTGAATCGAGGAAAATAGATGAAAAGCTTTGATAATCTACGTATGACACCTAAAGATGATAAAAAAAAATTTGATGTATTTTTGACACCGGTTTCGAAGGCATGAGATCGAATCGAATTCTATCTAGTATTGAAGATGCCTAACGGGCGACATTGGTAGATTGACAAAAGATGAAAAACTTATATATCTGATTCATTTTGCACATAATCAAATAAGATATTATCTGATTGCATTTAACGATGATTTGTCTATCTTTTTTTCTTCTCTATATGGAACAGGTACATAAATCACTGTTTAAGTTGAATCTTCATTTTAAAAAATTCAAAATTGTTCACAACAATTTTCGCTGCTACATTTGTATATCGAAAAATAATCGAATTAAGACAATATTTTATTCGATTTCAAACTTGTTTCCATTGATTATTGAAAGATGGCTGAGTCTAACTCAAATAGCACAGGTATGGATATTTGGTCACAAATTTCTTTAGACAAATTGGCTACCGCCATTGCTTCTCTTGGTGATCGTACTGACCAACTCAAGGATGATTCATGGCGATTGAATCTTAAGACAAAATCTTCTATCTCATGTTGGAGTGAGGTTATTAATAAATTGTCACTTAATGACAATGAAAGAATTCGCCTTGCTTTATACAAAACATGGCGTGAGGATCGGCATCAAATTCATGATCTTGTTGGCGAAAAGAAGAATGAAATTAAGATTGATGAAATAAAAGAAGTGAGTGATGAGAGTAACAAAACAGGAAAGAATTCCATTGATGAGAGGGTGATTGCACCTTCACATTCTGAACCATCGTTACCTCTACCTGAACCATACAATACACGCACATATCAAAAAGCAATAACAAGTGGTAATTTCTATCAACGCCGTTGTATTAGAACAGAATTTATTTCTCTTACTCGTATTGAATGGAAGGATGCATTTAGTCGTACTCATAAGAAAACAAGATCTGGTTGGACCAGAATTTTTGATGAGAAATTGAGATCTATTGGTATTACATGCTCACTACGTTTTCATTCTGCTAATATCCCAAGCGGTGTGAGAAAACATAACTGTTCAGATTTTTGGTTCAGTACAGCTTGTACTGGCGATAAATGTCAGAGAAAATATATAGTAAGTCATAGAAGAGATATGGATAATAACTTAGTGGCGTTATTTCGTGTGGATACCTATGACGAAGAAAATCACAGCGAAGACAACATAATGGGACCACGCAAGATGGATGCTCAAGAACGTGATTGTATTGGTAAGATGTTGCAATATAAGTGATCATGACTTTAAATTAGTATTATTCATATATATTTTAGGCAAACGAGCAAATGAAGTTGGTCCCCTAGCAACATTTCGTGAGCGTATAGAAATTGCTGATGAAAAAATTCTCGCAGCAGGTAATTTCTCACAATGTCCGACGGTTGAAGCAGTGAAGAAATGTGGAGCGGATTATCGAAAGAAGATGCGTTTTGATGAAGACGTGTTCAGAGAATGTCGAATTCTAAGTTGCTTTTATCGCAAAGAAGATATTACATCGGAACATTTTTTAGGCAAGTCAGGCTTATCGAACAAAGAGAGCCTATTCAGAGGCTTTGATACTTGCTTTTTATAGGATATATTCACAACTTGGGAGAAATACCATTTCGATCACATCTATTCACTGAATCACAACTCCGGCGATACATAAGGTATATTGAGAACGAAAAATATTCTTTTATTCATATAGATTCAACTGGTGGAGTATTAAAGCCAATGAAAGAACAAAATGATGTGTACGTTTATACAATAATGTTCAAAGACGGCGTTGATGCGATGGATAATGTTCCACTAGCACATGCTATATTAACAGATCATACAGTTCCGGGCATTGGTTACTTTCTTGGCAATGTAATTCATAGTGCCAATCAAGTGACAACAAAGAAAAAACTACGTCCTCCTTCATTTATCATCATTGATTTTTCTGCTGCTCTTATGAACGCCGCTCTTTAGCAATTCAATATTGAAACTGTTAACACAAATCTCAAACGATGCTGGAATGTTATACATCGCAAATATAGTGCTGAAAATATTCGATCATTATCTTTTATTCATTTATGCTGTTGCCATGTTATGCATGCCATTGCAAGAAGTCTGAATGCTGAAAAAATTGAAAAAAAAACACGAGAAGCTGTCTTATATATATTCGCTTATATGTTATGTAGCGATGATATTAATCAATTATATGACACATTAGGATTAGTGATTAATATATTCGGCGATCCAAACGAACAGAACGCAAAAGAGAAGCTTGATAAAAGATGCTCTCTTAAATTGAACGTTGATGAAGAAAGTGAGTCAGTTTTAAAAGACTTTGATAAAATTTTTAGAACAGCTGAAGTGAACGAAGAAGAATTAAAGCTTGTGGATGAATATTTTGAATCAGATGAACCTATTATTCACCAGTCGCCATTTAATAAAGAGGCTATTAAACGCTATCCATTGCTGAATGAGATAGTAATAAAAAAAAAAGATAAAAAACAGTAATAATAATGCATTGTTTTCTGCATCGATAATGCGTATATTCTATCGATGGTGGGCATATTTGCCACTATGGACAGATTTGCTATTCGATTTCGAAGAACGATACGCCAATGACATACAGCAGAATCCATCGGTAGTATACTATTCCATCAGATACTCCAATGCGGTTATTGAAAGTTATTTCCGCACATTTAAAAAAAAGTATCTGTCAAGGGAAGAGAGGTAAACCACCTCAAGAAGTTATAATGGCATTACATAGAAGCGTGAAAGTACAATCAAAGGCTGATCAATTTGGATTAACACAAAGTTCATAGGGAAGAAAAAGAAAAAAGACCGGCGTAGGTATAGTCGGAAAATATAAGAAGAGAACATACGACAAAATACGTCGAAGCAAATACACAAATCTAATCGACAAATTCGCATCGAAACGCGCACGACAAAAAGAGGATCAATCTCAACCAGATAGCGTGACGAAAAAATACAGGTAATTTCTTCTGAACTCTAATCTATCAGATTATATCTTTGTATTTAGTGAATCGAACAATTCTGAGACCAATTCTTCGTCAAATAAATCGGAATCATCTTCGAAAACTCCCAGTGAGAAAATCTCAATCAAGTAAGAGAAACATTATTCTTATACCAAACAGTATATACGTTTAATTTAGTCAATTATCTCGTTCCAGCATAAGAGATTCATTATCATCATCTGAAGCGGCTGCGCAGTAGGGGTGGGTCATTTGACTTAACTTAAAATTAAGTTAAGTTTTGTCCCTTAACACTTAATATTAAGTATTAAGTTCTTTCTTTAATACTTAATATTAAGTGTTAAGTAAAAACTTAATTTTGAAAATTACGTTTAAGTTTTTTCACTTAATATTAAGTGATTAAGTGAGAAAAAATACATTTAATTACTTAATATTAAGTGATAAAACTTAAACTTAATTTTCAAAATTAAGTTTTTACTTAACACTTAATATTAAGTATTAAGTTTTCACTTAACGCTTAATATTAAGTGGTTAAGTGCTTATGAGGAAACTTAATCTCTTAATCTTAAGTGTTAAGTAAAATTGCTTAATTAAGTGACTTAATTAAGCCGAATTAAATAAAATGACCCACCCACACTGCGCAGGTAAGTGATGAATATTCTAATCCTATTCCATTCGATTTAGATGTGTCGGCGAACATTAATCATCAACAATATGAAATTTCAATTGAAAACAGTTTGAATACAAATCCATCTTTTATGGTGCCAAACAATTTGAATATTGTTAATGAACGATTGTAGTAATACAAGCTAATTTATGTATTATTAGAGCTTTGTATTTTAGACAAATAAGAACGCAATGTAGCATACTAAAAAAGGAGATATGTTCCCTAAAAAAGATTTACTAAAAAAGAACTTAATCTTTTTTTTTCTTCTCAACTTGATAATCTTCTTCGTCATCGTAATTCTTCCTCCTCGTCATCTAACTCATTTTGGTATAGAAGTAAATTTTTCCTCAAACCATCGTCTTCCTCTCTACAAGCTTTTCTGGATTCATCAGGTCAAATAGTCAAAGAAAGTGATCTTATGGGCAATATAGCAGCTGATTATTATGAAGAGTTTTTTAAAGCATCAAATATTGTTAGACCTCATCCATATACTGATTCACCTGCAATTGAATACGATAATATTAACGAAGTTATTCCTGAAGTAAAACTTGATGAACTTATAAATACAGTTTTAGCTAAAAAGAAAAAAAATTAGATTCTCATGGTATTTCGAATTATATGTTTAATTTTGTTGATCTTAATTATTGGTCTTTATTGTTAAAACTTTACAATCATTCTTTTCAAAAGTAAGTTTTACCTTCTGCTTGGAAAGATACTCGAATGATCTTATTAGCAAAAAAGGATTCCATTTGTCTACCGTCTTTAACTCGCCCTATTTCACTTCTTGATTCATTTCAGAAAGTAGGTGAGAAACTATTTCTTACTCGATTTCGTGATCTTTTATATAGAAGAGGTCTTTTACCGGACAGTCAATCAGGTTTTAGAGAACGTTTCGTTTACAAGCACGTTTACTTCTTTTTCTTGAAGATATATATATAGTCTTATGTCAAATAGTGCTCCAGTTTGTACGATGTTTGTAGATTTTCGCGCTGCATTTGATCAACTGTGGTTTCTAGGTTGCATTGGTTTACGTAATTTAGGTATTCCTTCATCTTTTCTAAGTTGGATCGAAGTATGGTTAAATAACAGACGTTGCTTTATAGAAATCAATGGCAACAAATCTCACTGTTTCTCTATTGAAGGGTGGTCCACAAGGAAGCGTTCTTACTCCAACATTATTCATCACATATAATTGTGATATGTGCAGTTCTCTATCTGGTTGTATAAATCACTTCTTTGCTGATGACTTAGCCGAAATTATGGCCGGTCAATTAGGAATAAATTATTCTTCTCAATGTCTTGATTTGGAAAAAAGAATCAAAGTTTTTCTTGATAACCTTGATTACTATTCTTGTTTATCTGATCAGCCCATAAATTTCAATAAAACTAAAGCTATGTTTAGTGCGCGCGCCATTGGTCATCGTAAATTTTTCATTAATTTTCGTCAAGATACAAAGAATATAATTGAATGGACCTCAGAATATAAGTACCTTAGTTATATAATTTCACCAAAATTAGGTTGGGGTAAATTCTTAAAATATATGATGACTAAAATTAGACAAAGAATTTCGTTAATTAAATCCTTTAAAATCTTTGGTTGTTCTTCTTCATATCTTCGTAAAACTCTCTTTCTGTCTCATGTATTACCTATTTTTACCTGGATTTATCCGATTTACCCTCTTCTTTCTGAAAATCAACAAAATGATTTGTCTCATTTTTTATTATACTTCACTTAGGCGCTTATTGTATTGTCTAAATTGGAATGAAAATTTCTTTGCATTTGCTCTGGATGAGAAGTCCCTTGAAGACAGATGTCATTCTTATTGGGAGAAATACCTTGTAGCTCTAGCAGACTCGATTGATGGTGAATTGTTGTTTGAAAAAGCTAATTTGAATGTATTCAGACAGATCTGGATTGATAAACAATTTTCAATTAAATGTCTACGAAGATCTAAAAGATTCATTCCTCACCATTCAATTATAGAAAAAATTATTGAGTGGATGGCTTCTATTCATTATCGTTCATCCGTACCTGTTTGTGAGATTGATGAAATCCAATTCCTTGAGGATTTTCCAAAATATTTTGATTCTATATGATCTATTTTCTGTGTAGGCCTAACTTTTTTATACAACCTTTTTTTATGATTTTCTTTTTTTCTGTTGCTCTTGTTTTGTCTCTTCTTCCTTACTTTACTTATATGTACTGATAGGATCTTAGGATCACAGTTGTTTCTGCATAAATAAATAAATAAATTATGTAAAGCTCAATTTTAAGAATTCAAAGCCTTAGAAGACTTTAAAAAGATTGCAAGTCCACACACTAAGTTTAAATGTGTCGCATGTGTCGTGATTTGCGACACAATGTACGACACATTCGAGTGTGACATTAGGTGCTCGTTGCGACATATTATCTCCAGCGATGGCACAACACATTTTGTACGACACATGCGACACATTCTGAAAACTTTTTTTTGAACCCACTGGTCAGAAATTTATTTTTATTTTTATTAAAAATATTATGATAATTTTTTCGATTTTGGTCTATTTGAACAGTTTCATTTCTGAAAGCTCAAACAGGTCAGATCTTGAGATCTGAACAGTCTCGAGTCGGTCCGGTTTTTACCAGACTATTTTCGGGTGATCCCATCTCGATCAATGACCAAGATAGGCATTCTCTCGACTAATTATTAATCAAGAAATAATCTAAAAAATATTTAAATGAAAATACATATCTTTCGTATGTTCAATCGAGTTCTCTATATAGGATCTTTTACGCAAAAGAAAAGGGTGAATCGATAGTCGACACACAGAACGAGACAAATTTTTTAGCGACACTTTCTGTTGTGATATATTTTCGACACTGAACCTACGACACTATTACTCGCAACACATAAATGCGACACATTTTAATTTAGAGTGCAGATCAATGGAATATTTATTATATACTAAAGTCAAAAGTTAAACTTTGTTCAATTAAGAACAAAAACGTTCGTATAGCTACAAAACAGGTAAAATATGGTTTATTACCGAAATTTGATGAATCTTTTGTTCATCGGCAAGATGCACAAGGGACCTACGATTACGTACGTCAAATGGTCAAAACTTTTCGTACTCAACTAACGACTACATATATTCAATCGTTGGCTCATGAATATGAGCTACTTTCCGATGAGATCAAATGTATGATTGAAGGCATGCCTCAAGATAATGATGATGGTTTCTATGTTGAACCTGGATATGCCGCATTTAAACAATATCATGATCGACGTGAAAAACGATTGAATTTAGAAATTGAAAATTCGCTTTATTTTTTCGAAGAAAAGCGAGTCGAGGGCACCTCCAAATATCGAAAGCAAGAGGAAGAAGAAATAATAGACCCGGCTCCTCTCCGGCAAATGCCTGAGAACTTCTTGGTCCCGCAATAATCAATGACGTACAAGCTCCATTAACCGAAGAAGAACATCAGCTGCTAAGATTAGGTCCTCGGTTTATCTATAATGATCCACAAACAGCAGCTCGACGGCGAACAATTTATTGTTGAATCAGATGAAATGCTACAAATTTTACATAATATACCGACAATTAATAACAATCTTCCATCAATCATTAAGAAAAAGAAAAAATTATGGTCGATCAGTTAAACGATTGAATTTCAAATTCAAATCGACTAATACAATATGACGAAAAACTGATAAATCTAAAGAATTCCATTTGGGTAAAGTTGATGATTATACAAAGAAATATGACGAGTATATGGAGAAAATAAAAGCATATAAATGCTTATGAATAATTGATCTATTATCAGATTTAATTCGTCGTACCAATAGATATTTATTAGATATACGATTAGCCAAATGGATTAGCCAAAAACAATATGAAAAATGATGTATTAATTCCAATGATGTTGAACTTGCACATTTATACTACCTGCCAAAAGCTCATAAACATGGTACTCCTCTACGTCCAATTGTTGCTGGTTTAAAACATCTGACAATTAAAACTTTTAAATTTCTTGATGAATTACGTCGACCCTTCTTTGATCAAATGGTTTCAAAGACAGCTATTACTTCTGGCTTTGAACTATTGAAACATGTACAAGAATGATCCAAGATTAAATTACGTCAAGAAACATTATTTTGTACTATTGATGTTTCTGATTTTTACACAATGGTAACTCAAGTCGAAGGAGTATTATTATTGAAGTCCATGTTAGACCATATGAAATTAAAACAAATTGGTGGTCACAGAACTGAAGCAATTATTCGTTTAAGTCGATTTGTTATGCAAAATAATTATGGTGCGCGTAATTCAAAATTACAGCACTTCTTATTTTTTTGCTTAAATATACATCAATAGATTCGGTGTTTCAAGCTGATCACGAATATCTACTTACTTTTTCGATTCGAGAAAATCTTCATGGAGAAAACGGCAAAAAAACTGAGAGAGTGTA